CAGCCCTCCTCCGTGATCCGGTCATCTTTTCCGCCATCCGGCCACTTGAAGGATCGAAGGATTGAAGGATGATAGTTCCTAACCAATGACATGATCATAGATCTGTACTATCTTGTATATTGACAAAATAACACAATATTCCATAGCATAAATTCTCAAGACTCTCTCTAGCTAGATTTGGCATACAACAATCTTGATTAATGTTGATATCAAACTAAAATCGAAGAAAGAAAAGAAAATATAGTATCATATGGTCAATCATACTATGACACTACACGAGATGCTTATAGAGTAACCCTCCAAGATGGCTTCTATCTGGAAATCAGCAACCTAGGGGAGTCAATTGCCAACAAGGCCAAATAAGATCATCATTACTCGCATATTCCTCTGCACCCCTCGAATCCCACAGATATTCTACACATTCTGATACACCCCGCGGAGGTAAATTAATGACATTGTAAAGAATGTCCTCCTTACACTTGCGCAGCGGGTGATGGAATGTGCCTCTGTGTTGACTATAAGAGCTATTCAAAGGTAGACATGGTCTCACTAGAAGCATTCCATCAGCCACAACTCCAGTTCTTATCGTGGACTTCAATACCCATCAGCATCCACATCAATGGCCCAGCTATCGGGAATATACCATCCTCCTGACGGTTACCTTGCTAGCACACAAACCTGCGCCCTAGTTTGGGACACAATCCACCAGGATCTCAAAGCCTCCGATGTACGAGCGCGTACCTCCTCGAAGCGTTTAGTGTGTATGAAGCGAGTGCGGACGGTGGGGTCTATATCCTCAGGGGATTAATGGGGTTGGGGTTCCCGTTGGTTAGTCCTGTTATGTATCGTGTTCTGGGGGTATGGATGGGGGAATAGCCTCTTGGGGTTTGTAGTGGTAGTTATCGGGTCCCCCCATTCCGTGTGTGCTGGGAGTGGTGGTTTGATGAGAAAATGAGGAGGAAGAGTCGTTTTGTGGATGAGGTGTGATGATCATGATGATGATACATACGTAGTTATCCATTCCCCCTTGATTCGGGGAGTGGGTATTGTGTACTACATTATCTGCAGGGGGGCTTCATGATTTTGACTTCCGTGATTAATCATCATGTAAGTTGATCTCATCTTCTAATGGATTTTTGATATTGTTCTATTCAAATGCATTCATTGCATTAAGATTCCAGGTTTTAGCGGTTCCTGAACTTAAAAGTAGGGCTGGAATTGCGGGTGGCAGGCATCATTGTTATCTAAACTCAGTACATACTAACTTCTCACCCCCTTCCAACGGCCTTGCCTAGTCAAACGAATCAAGCATACATGATCTGCAATAAATAAAAGCGTAATCTGCGACATGACGCGGTGTGGAATGTGCCCTACGTCGATCTTTTTCAGCCTGTATTTCGTGCTAGTTTCACCGCCCACAGAATTATTCTAAACCATGACGTAGTAGCTATTGAACAGAGGATAGTAAAATCGTAACTGTCATGATTAGAAAGATAGATACAGCAGAGAAATCTATGATACTTCTAAAACTATGCATATGAACCAAAAGCCTTGCGCATAACAACCATCAACTCATCATTCTTCCATCTGAATAATCTCCTGGATCATGTCATAACGGATCTTCTCATTCACATAGCTGTCTCGCTGGTACTCCTCGTGACCGGTCACGAATGAGCGCATCCACTGGGCTGGCGTCGGAAGCTCTCCGCTTGCTCGTTTGCTGATCACATCCAGGTAGGGCATGATCTTCTTTTGGTCCATCACGGGCGTGTTACTGTACTGGAGATAAGCGCGCACGATGTTCACCAGTCCAGGGAAGCTGGAGGGCACCTTCGGGTCTTCGCCATTGATGATCTCGTCCGCCGTGAGAAGCGCACATGACGGTGATGCATGTGCAGTAGATTTTGAGCAACAGTTAACACAGCCTCTCCGCTGACGCTGTGGACGCTCGCACTGCTCTGCGGATGACCATCCGGTCCGGCGGAACCAGAAGCGCTCTTCGAGGGCAGCATTGCGCTTCTGCGCCCGTTCCATGGAGTCTCCCAGCTGGTCAATAGGCACATAAAAGTTCAAATGAAGTTCCGTAATGGCTCGAGATAGGAGGTACATGAAAATGGCGAAAGCAGCGTTGTCGAAATCGGTCAATTGTACTTCCATCGGTCGGAACTCTACCCGCCAGCCGGGTCCATCGTCGGTTAAGGGGATCTTGAGTCGGACATGTTGCCATACAGTGCTGTAGTAGACGTCAAATATGCCCGTACTATTCAGATCGAAGTTTTCCAGGTCTGTTCGGTTGAGCACAATTGGATCCCTCGAGAGGATATTGGCATAGTGCATCGCCAAAGGTTCGTCCATGCCGCCATCTAGTAAGCGTTGTTTGACCGACTCATTCATGGGAGTCAGCGGAGATTTGCTTTCAAGATTGGCTGGCTTCTCTTGCGAGATGTATGTGCGGTTCCAAGAATACCGTGGCGGCTGCATTGCATGAGTTAGTCAAGCCAAGAAACTTTAGGGTGTGCATAATACCGTCGTGGTTAACTCTTCCGGAGTACGATCGTCAAAGCATTCAGAGGTTCGGCCCCAGCGCACCTCTGTATCTACCAAATAACCCTTAAACATCGGCGTGGCAGCGGTAAGTGCTAACATAACTGGCCCCAGTGCGATCATTTGGTCATGCAACCATCGCGCTTCAACTTCATTAGGAGCCTGGAACGTAACCTGAATGCAGCAATTCCCGACCCCGAGACCGATCCCATCCAGATGGACATGGCCTTCTTTTCCATCCCCGGGGGGATGCTCTGCGGGGTATTCAAAAGACGCAGAAGTGTCATGAAAAGGTGATTGCGTCTGCTCATCTCGAAAGACTGGAATGTAGCTCTCAACACGCCGTTGTCGCCGTGCCAGCAAGTTCTCTGTCATCATTATATAGCGCGGTATGGGACAGCAGATCTGTTCAAGAGACTCTTCATGCGGACTTTCTGGGAGTGTGAACTGTCCCTTTTCACCTAAGCCAGGGAAAACACACAACGGCACAGGGTGTTGGTCGGGCGATAGGAATTGCCCGATCAATTTCCGTCTAAAGAAGTCAGCTTTATGCCTACTTGTTGCGAGTTCCAACATACCGTCTCTTCATATTGCCTTGAACCCTGAGTAGGTCCATAATATCGCCCCCATATGGCTCTCCTGGAGTTGCTTCAACCATATGCCGAGCCCATTCCGCCTGTAACTTGACTTCATTCCATGGTTCACTATCATGTCTCAGTATCCTGTCTTTGGCAGTGTTACTAAACACTTACACTTCCTCAGCTTTAGCACAATGTCTTTCCTCTTTTTGAAGGATGTCTTCTTGGTTAAGAAGCAGTGTTGCTCGCGACCTGTTTGCGTCAAGGCTGACCAGGGTATATTCAATCTGTCGAGTCAGCGTCTCCTTCGATATAACTACAGCAGGTGAGGTCTTACCTCGTCACCCCATAGTGGTTCCAGATCGCTTCTATTCTTTTGCCTCTTCCATAGAGATAGCAATTGCTTTTAACGTTAGTGACATGCATTCAGAAGGTAAATAGGAAGCACTTACCTCCACTGCCCCTTGACGAGCAATAGGTGCAACTTGCTGAAGCTCTTGCCATGAAAGCGGTGTTCCGCTCACCCTGCTGGGAGGTTAGACACGTACTGTCTCAAGTGCAACAACGGTGGAACATACGGTGGACCCATTCTCAGTAAAGTAGAAATATGATATGAAATGGAGTTGTTTGAGTACAAGCGTATAGGTATGATGGTGGGTAATTGAGCATCATTATATAGCCTCTCCAAAATGCAATTAAAGGGAATCATCTAAGACCTTTACTATACGCGTCGTTGTCGATCATCGTAGCGCGACAATCCATGGCTTGGCTGACAGCAGTATGCTGCCTCGTACGTAATGCTCATGGGCAGCTGAAAGAGGTTATGAATGACCAATCATGCATTCTCACATATTACGCTTTTTTGGGGTCGTAGATGGCGTAATGGCAGGCTGCAACTTCCTCGTTGCTACCCCTTGCATGGTGTCTCATCATGTCTGAAACGACAAGGCCACATAGGGCATTTTGAGAATTGGATATGTGCACCTCTTACAAAACTCATCTTCGGCGTCTCAGGCCAGGCCAGTCGGCTTCGTCCCCAAATGTCTTAACCTCATCTGAATATGGGTCAGTAATGAGACAGCCGCATCGGCCATGAGCTCGTAGACAGGCAGGGCTGCGTCCCCTGCATCTTTCGAAGCGGTAGTACTCACATACTTCTTGTCTTGGCAGGGCCACCGGAAACTGAAGGCAGCATCATTTCCGAGTCACCCCGATTATTATTGGAGCGCATTCAAAAGTCGATCTTCCACCGAAACACTTCCTCGAAGACATCAGTAACTTGGTCAAGTACGTGTTGCATTATCGCCAAGGCCTACATAATGCAGATCGTGAATTGCTTCGATGGAGTTCTTGGAAGAAGCGTGTTCCGTAAGGGGTAAGCATAGTGCTGAGGTCGATTCAAGTGCCCACTAGTATCTGCAACACCTGAGACCAAACACAAAAATAGACGATGAATTCCTTTCTGGTCGGCGTTCTCCGCAATTCACCAGTGTTCACCGTCTGAATTATGTTAGCTCCTCGCTTCCAATCCAGCTCCCCCCCATCCAGCGTACGTATGCATTGCAATAGGCTGCCATTCACGAGTCGTAGTTCTATTGCCGCCGAGAAAGGCTTCGTAAGTGGATGAAAATCCCTTTGGCATGTGAGGTACCCGCGTCGTGGAACTCTTCAAAATACGGTTTATGCATCGCAGCATGGCCTGTATAGGCTGAGGTGGAACATCAGACGAGCTAGTTTGTCAGTGCAGGGAGAACAGCGTGCCAAGGGACGCCATACATTTGCCTTAAAAGGCTAGCATTCATAGCAAGAGCCAAGAAATCAGACCAAGAAGCAATGACGAGCTTGCGAATCCCTATCTATGATGAAATGATTGCATGTCTATGGACAAGTTGGGGAAGTGGGAGAGGAAGAAGGAATAGAAAGAACGCATTGGGCTGAGGCCACGTGCTTGAGGTCACGGGCTGCCAAATCATCTTTCCCCTTTCAGTCGTTTGTCTATTACTCTTCCCTGTCTATTGTTCTCATGCTATGCTACACCACGGTGGTCTGTTGGCTTCTGTGATATGCAACAATTGTAGTGTATGTCAAGTCTCCCTGCGTTGCTCCTTATGATCTATCCAGACAGTTGATGCGTTCAATCAGTTGTTGAGAATTCATTCGTTGTAGGACTATGTGAAAGAGATTATATTGAGGCTGTAGGCTCCATTGCATACTGATCAGTCTCGACATTCAATTTGTAAAGGGCTTTGAAAAGCCAAGACTAGAAGGTCTCGATGGTATTTTCTGCTAAAATATGACACTTCCGACTGCAGACACATACGGCAATACATGGTCGTTCGAAGCAAATAAGATCTTCATGACCCATTGTTGACTCTCACTGTGATGGGCGTAATCACAGAACCTTCACAGGCTCCCCAGGTTTGAGCCAGCATACCTGGTCACTGATTCCTTCCTCCTGGAAAGCCTGACGCAGCTCTTGTCCAAACTGTGTGAAGTGATGCCATGACTCATAATGCATAGGTACAAGGTAGTCGGCCTTGATTTCGCGGAAAAGTTGAGCGGCCTGCTTGCCATCCATGGTGATCTGATAAGGGGGGCTGCTTGGGTCTGTCATGTCCGTAGGCGCATGAGCATTACCGAGGTTGACGATCGCAGCACAAATATGGAAGCGCTCTGCCATCTGCTTCAATTCCTCCACGTAAACAGTATCACCCGAGAAGTAGATTGCGTTAGGGAGACCATCGCGACCATGACCAAAGCCCTCCCCGGTCAAGATAAAGCCGGTACACTCGTTACCAACGACGTGCTTGGTTGGCGTGCCAATAACCTGGAACTTCTTTCCGGCAATGACAACTTCCATTTCTTCCCAGGGCTCGAAGCCATGAACTGCGGGCCGAGGGGAGAGGTTCTTCGCACCGTCAACAGTAGTGAAGACTCGGCGTCCATCAAGTAGGCGGCGACCGAGGTCATCAAGGTTGTCGACATGGTCTTCATGACTGAGCAGGACTGCATCAATGACAGGAAGCTGATCGAGGCGGAGAGCAGGGTCATCCTCCACTTTGAGAGAAAATTTGTCGGTCACAGGGAAAGATGTTCCGGCCGGAGAGAAGAAAGGGTCAGTGAGCATATTGACCCCATTGATCTCAAGTATGGCTGTAGCAGTGCCAATATGGGTGACGTTAAGAGTGGGTGCCATGATTGCTGATGAGCTTAAGAAGAGAGGCTGATTGGTGAGAGAAAGACTTGTAGAAAGGCAGTGTCTGCCGATGACTGCGCAGGGCACAATATATAGTAGATCTGAATAGTAGTACTTGGGAATCCGGGCAAAACGTGAGTATCTTGTTAAAGTAGGCAAGTCTTCGGTGGCCAGTATTTATAGCTGAAACTTGCTGAGTGGCACAGCAGAAAAGGTTGATATTGTTCACATAATAGACTACTAATGATATACCCAGCCTGTAAGCATCTTTGAAATGAAGAAAACTGATTATTCCGGTATCCCGCCTTCGGCATCCCGCCCTTCGGTATCCCTCCTCATATACGGTAGAGTTGTGGCGAGCCAGATATCTCAGTCACTTTATCTTTAAATACTAACAGATTGTTTTATGAATCAATCTGATGCTGGTGTTTAGATCGAGGAAATGTCGGCAGGGTGTGCCGGTTAATAGGACGTTTAGTCCGGCAATAGTCTCTTACGACTAGAAGAAATATGTAGGCCCGAAAACTACTAGATGGTACTATATTTAATTGTAATATGGTTAATTATGAGATCGTTTGAATTTCTTCGGGGCTTCTTCTTCTTCTTCTTCTTCTTCTTCTTTTCTCTCTCTCTCTCTCTATTTTTTAGTTGGCTGAAATAAACAATTACATATATTATTTCAAATAAGATCTGACGAGTGGCATGTCATCTGTGGCGTTTCTCCATGTTCAAATCTGGAGCGGAAGACCGAGTGGGATACCGATACGGTATCTTAAGTGGGGCACGACCTGTGGCCCTGAATACTAATCCTTATTAACCAAAGTCTATAATCTATCCCCAAGTACCATTCCACCAATTCATGTTGCAAAAGCGCTGATTACCTATCGGCCTTTTGGTGTTGGGTTCATCCGTGGAGCGGGTGCAACAGCGGCCACTTCGGTAACTTGCGTCACTTCTTCTCGTCACTTCCCGGCATCCCTCCTGCATCCTCGCAAGAACTGAGAGCCCCGAACCAACCAACGATAATGCCTTCCCCCAAACCTACTAGGTCACACTATAGCTTTCGATGTGGTCATCCAGGTTGTGGTGCAACTTATCAGCGGAGAGAACACTTGAAGAGACATACTGCGCGTCATAATGAGGGAGAACGCCTCTCGTGTCCTTATTGTGAGAGTACTTTAGCCCGGAGGAATGTGCCATGCCCGGAGCACCTGAACATCTGCTTCCAAAGCTAACTATAGACCAGCGACCTGTTACGGCGCCATGTTCGAAACTATCACCCTGAGAGAAAGCCTCCACAGTCTCGGGCAGTAAAGGCCTGCCAAAAGTGCCATGCTCGAAAAGAACGCTGTGATGGCGGACATCCGTGCAGCCGGTGTCAACAACGGGGTTTGAGCTGTTCGCTTGATGTCAACGTAACTGGGGACGAGAAACAACAGGTGCTTGGATCACAGGAGGATTTGAGAACTGAGCTGAATGCATCAGTTCCCGACGCATCACGGTGGATCGCCCAGGATTTCATAGATATTTACTTCAGCGAATTTCATCCTGTCTGGCCTTTCCTTCATAAAGGAACATTTGATCTTACCAAGGAGCCTTGCATTCTCATACAGTCCATGCTAATGATTGGACTATGGATCAAGGGCGACCGGGAGGGGCGGGACTCGGCGATGCATTTCCATCACAAATTGCTGTCTGCTATACAGGCACAAAAAGTAGGGATTATAGCATGATCAGTATTGTCAAACAGGGGCTGACTTCTTTTGATCATAGTCCCGGTGGCATGTGTCAGAAACAATACCACAGCGTATCGAGATGAAACCTTGGCAGATGCCGACATACCAGAGCATTCTTCTCCAGCTTATATTTGCTCTGCTCATAGCTAAGCAGGAGGCGACTTTTGACCTGAACCTTCGTTGTCACCTGCCATCATCCAAGTACGAGCTGCTCACCTCGCTCGTAAAAACCTGTCGGCAGCTGGGATTGTTCTCGTATCCGAATATGCTAGCTCAGCATCCTCTTGATGCGCCAGTAGCTCTCATCTGGGTAAGTGTGGAAGAAGCTAAGCGATTCGGGTTGGCCCTTTATAAGCTATGTCGGCTATGTGGGCCAAAACAGACAGTCAGTTCTGTTGCTCCAAGTCATGGTGGCTCGCGAGGGAGTGCACTTCTTACGCTCGCAGATCTGGACTTTAGCATGCCAGACAGTGATGAGATGTGGAATGCGTCATCGGAGGAACGTAGAAGTATCCTACAAAATATGACTTTACAGCACTCTTTTAGAGATAACCGCGACACCAGTGGCTGGATATCCCAAGCATCTGCACACTTGCACGATGATTATGTTGCTTTTGATTGGATTTGACAATGCCCGCTTCTCTTCCACACCATCAGAACGGTCGCATTAACAGAACATATAGTCTATGTCGCTGTCTTTGCATTGGAATATTGGTGCTTGAACCAGCCAGTTCAAGGAAGAGAAGTTAGGGCACTGAGGAATGGGGTTTTATGACAAGAGATAATTAAGACTTATATTGGGTGCAGCTATATGTATTAAGGTTTCGCTGATAAGGCCGGGGTGTTCTCCGCGTGGCCTATAAATGGCTTCGGATAATCCACTCCTTCCTTTCTCCGCAGCCATTCCTCTCCATCTCATGGCATCCTTCCCCATCACTCGCACCCGGACGGGCTGCCGGGCCTGTAGGGCCCGGAGGGTAAAATGTGATGGTACGATAATTCACCTCCGGATTGAATAGCCTCTGTAAGCTAATACATACAAAGAGAGCCATCCCGTCTGCCGTCGCTGCGCGCGAAACAACCGGGGCTGCGAATACAGCTTTCAGTTGACTTGGCTTGACGAATCTATCGCCAAGGGCGTTTGTCATGGAAGGACCGGAGTATGGTCAAAAAACGGCCGCAAGAGAATGGGTGTCTCAAACGAGCACGACCTGGCTAAGATGCCGCGACATTCTACGCCTGAAATTTCGCACCAGCAGTGGATGTTTCTAAACACATCCGCTGACGACGTTAATCGGCTTTGTGTGGAGTACCATAGGGGCTATGGAGGTAACTCGCTCGGTCTTCCACGGCGGCTGCTACTATCACCCTCAATGAATTCAATGCCAGTCACGGCCCTGAATCGAACTAGCGAGGATCCTATGCTGCTGGCATTCTTTGAGACAGTAATTTGCAGCAGCTCAACCCTGGTCGACAATGTACAATCAAATCCATATCGATACTTGATGTTGCCCATGGCTCTCAGCTCTGAAGGCATCTATCATGCGGCATTGGCGATTTCCGCAAATACCCTGCGTCTTTCCCAAGTGCGGTATCGCGTCCCTGCTCTGGAACACCATCACCGTGCGTTACTCCACCTCAAATATCTTCTAGGCCAGGATAATTGGACAGATCGGGAGATGGATGAGATATTGGGGCTGGTTATGATGCTCTGTTGGTTTGAGGTATTGAGAATGTTCAGCTATACCTACCAGCTCAGACTCAAGAGTTGACATCATTAGATCTCAGATCATAGTTGTCCATCGTGGGTGACTCACCTGAACGGGTTCCAAAATGTCACGTCGGCACGAAAGCAACGACGTTGGAAAACACCATCGCAGCACAGTCAGGAGCTTCTTAATTTCTTCGACCGCTACTTCGTTTTCCACCTCGTTCTTGCCCGAACGGCCTTTCGATGGGATGGTCCACAAAAACATCCATGTCTTTCTGCCTTGCCTCCAAGTCCATCATCGGATATTATCGACCCTTATATGGGATTTAGCCACGCGCTACTTCTCCTAATAAATAAAGTAACTGACTTGGCATGGCAAGAACATGCGCTGGACATCCAAAGTGCGTATGGACTGAAGCACTCGTTGGAGGTGCTCCGTCAGATGCCACCTCATGTGGATATCAATTTGCATTCGGGGAAAGAATGTATGGTCATTGCTGAAGCAAACCGCTTGGGTGCATTACTGCTCCTGCACGAGATATGCTCTTCTTCTACGTCAACCTCTTCGTGTCCATCGTTTACCTCCGAGGAAAAGCTCCGCTATGTTCGTCAGATTCTCAATCTCATACAGACGCACAAGTCCAACATGATGCGCACTGCCGTGCTTCCTTTATGGCCTCTCTTCCTAGCAGGTTGCTGTGCCTGGGACGACGAGGACAGAGTTGTTGTTCTGCAGATCTTCCAGGAGTGGGAGGCCATTCGTCGTTTTGGTGTACGTCTATCCACCCACAGATACCACTTCACAAGCTAATGGTTTAGAACATCACACCGGCAAGAGAAGTGATAGAGATGGTTTGGCGACGCCGTGACCTTAGCCTAATTGAAAATGCTAATGACGCCATGTCAGGGGGGACAGCCCGCTTTGAATGGGAACATGCGATGACGATGCTTGGGGGGTGGAAGCTAGCGCTAACATAAAGACATTCATTCTAGCATGTGTTATTTGCTTGTGTCGTTGACTTTTACAATCTCGGCCCCCTCTCACGAGTTTTACGTCCCTTCCATCCTGTCAGGTCATTCAACTCCAACTCCGGATCCTGATGGGCTAGGTTCTTCGCGGTCACCGTCTGGCCTGCGCGCCATTGCCACTGCCGGGCAATGCCAGTCTCTATACTTCCTTCCAGCAAGTCGGCAATGTACTTGCCTAGCACGGGCAGGAACTTGAAACCATGCGCTGATCCTCCGGCAGCCACGTACAGCCCCTGATGGTTAGGGTGCGGTGAAATTAGAAAGTGGCGGTCAGCGGTATCAGCGTCCCAGCAAAGACGGGTATAACAGAATGGACGGTCGGCCAGCTCCGGTAGGACACGACGAAGGTTCCGGCGCATCTGAGCCTCGATCTCCAGCGGGAGATCATCTTGCGGATTGTCCACAAAGGTGTGAGGAATAGATGACTTGTTTCCGGACTGTGTATCCGTCTGCATGTTCGTGATGAACTGGCTGTGCGCCATCTTGAACACCCCATCTGCCTGCGGCGGAAAGAAGTAGCCCAGCTCCAGATTATCCATAATAGGAAGTGCGGAATAATGAGTTGTCTCCGTCGGGGAGAGTTGTATATGCGCCACACTGTGGCCTTTGGCCGTCAACTGGCCCGCCACGTCCAGCAATGTTGGCGTCCAAGCCCCGGCAGCCACCACGACCAAGTCAGCAACATGCGTGGATCCATCAGCCGTGATCACTCCCGTGCAACGCTTCTCCTCATCGAACAGCAACTTCTTGACCCAGCCCTCTTCACCAGAGATATATTCCACCCCTTGCTCCTGCGCTGCGGTGGCCATGCGCCGTAAGGCTTCCCCGGCCGCCGCCCAGCCAGCCGTCGGATTCCAGACGTTGATATTCCACCCATCCAATTCGCCCGTAACGAGGGGGAACCGCTCACGGATTTGCTGCGTCGACAGGCGTTCCAAACCCTTAACCCCGAGCTTGGTGCACGTCTCAATCGACCCTTCCACAAACGCACACGACAGCTTATATGCGCTCAGAACCCAGCCAGGGACATGATACAGCCCACGAAACAACTCTGAGGACTTCCAGGCGGCAATCGCCTCAATTCCCAAGCGTGCATACAGCGGCTCGTTATAGTCGCTGCGAATGATCTTGCTGATATCGGTTGAGGCGGCCTCGCAGGATGGCGCGGGATATCGATCCAGCACGCGGATAGACGTGAAACCGCGCTGGGCGAGATGGTAAGCGGTTGAGGTGCCAAAGCAGCCAGCTCCAACGATGATGATTCTTGTGTTTCGGTCCATGGTAGGCTAGCCAAGTATTAGAATGGTTCTGCATCACCCTTCACTACTCAACTGAAGTATTTATCTAGCTATGAGTATCGAGCAAAGCTACAAACCAACCAACTACTGTAACCCAGAAACCCTCGGAATAGTAGCCAGAACCCCTCAATTGCCAACCACTCAGAGAGTAATTAGTATCCACGTCGCACCGACCTGCCTGCCTTCCCCTCAACCATCATTAATCCTCCCCTCGGGGGATACTAGTAGCGCAATCTCCTTATCACGATAAAGCCCCTCCCAGCAGATAGCAAGATAATCAAAAATCTCCACAACAGAGAACGGAAGTAAAAGCCAGCAGACCAAACCGGGCCTCGTTCCGACCTTCCCCCTCCCGCCCGTTTAATCATACCTACTTACTTATCATCTGTAAGGATCCATCCATCCCGCTACTGATTCCCCACTTTGGGATTCATGGCTTAAGCTGATAGGTTGGGTATAGGACCGGCGTATGTATACTACTTACTCCTATTTTATGCTATCTACGTAGTCGGTAGTTAGGTACTTACTTTGAGTGTTAGTAGGGATTCTTATCGGTTAGATGTTGAGACGTGGGCCACATGATTCGTTGTGTCTCGGGGGTTACCCCGCTCGTTACTTACTACTAATCTAGGTTTGTCGTTGGGGTTGATCTATGGCTAAGTATTGCTACTGCAGTGTGTAAAGCGGAGAAAGTGGTTAGTGTATTGTAGGTACCCTGTATGTTTATCTAGTGATTGGGGTAAGTATTATGGATAGGTATTGGTAGTTGGAGGTAGGGTGCATTGATTCTTTGATCATGTTTCAAGCATTGATTACTTTATAAGTAATAGTAGTATGCTCTACGATATTCCTGGTTCAGATTATATCATACTACACTAATATGTATACCGGAACGATCTCTTCTCTTTATCCGTTAGATCCGAAAATGCCGCATCCTCTGTAACAGTAACAGTCTGCTCCTCCTCCTCCTGCTGCTGCTGCTGTTCACGATCCCGTCGCTGATTCTCCCATCTACAGAGTACTCCGTAGGCTGAGATCGCGACGATAGCAACGACCAGACAAGCCAACAGGCCCTCGTAACCGTGCGAGTAACTCGGGGCATCCGTGGAGCGGAAGACCTGGGGACCGATGATATTCCCCACACAATAAGCGATAAAGAAGATAGCATTCAGAGTAAGTTTCTTGGAGTGACCACTGGTATTGGCCATAGGGAGCGAAGTGGATAGTACGTAGGGTGCCCAGTAGGTGTAAAAGACGTAGTAGGAGGCGAGGAGGCCGTGCTTGTCGGAGCGGGGAAGTTTCCACATGAGGATGGCACAGGCCATAGGGACTAGGTTTGAGACGGCGATGATGAAACAGCGGGAATTTGGCACACGGGAGGCGAGCAACGAGAGCAAAATCTGCCATACGGTGGCGAGGACACCGGTGGGGATGCCTAAGACGGTGGTGATCAGGGAGGAATAGCCGAGTCCGGTGACGATGAGGGCGGAGAAGGTGACGAGGCCGCCATTGGGAATGTTCTGGGCGAGCGAGAACAGAGCTAGGAGCCACGTCTTTGGGTCGAGGAGACATTCACGCACTTGGTACCATTTGATGGTTTTGTCTTCCATACCGGTGTTGTTGTCTTTGACGCGCTCGAGGCAGACGAATTTTTCGCGGTCGGAGAAGTACCAGCACTGGACTGGGGAGTCTGGGAGGAAGATGTATAGGACGCCTGACCATAGGATGGAAAATGCACCGAGGACAAGGAAAAGTAGTCGCCAGGGGTGTAGTGCTGTGTGGGTATGTCCGATGCCGTAGCTGACGACTCCAGAGAAGACGGACGACACTTGGTTGAACCAGAAGGCTACCCGGAGAGGTTGTTCACTCGTCTTCCACCACATGACCGTTAGGATGCTGGAGATGGGAAACACCGATGCCTCGAGCATGCCCATGAGGAAGCGCACTGTCGCCAGACCTGCAAAGTTCTGCGTAGCGGCCGTGCACAGCATCATGACTGCCCAAGCGAAGACCATTCCCACGTAGAGTTTGGCTACGGGGAGCCGCTGGATGAGTAGCGCAGCAGGGTACTCGAAGAGCAGGTAGCCAAAGTAGAATATTGAGCCCACCCAGGAATATTGGTTGCCAGTGAGATGGGTATCAGTCTCCATACCGTAGATAGCGGCATTAGAGATGATGACCTTGTCGACTGCGGCGAGCACGCAGGTGACCATAATCAATGGGATCAATATCAGATCAATCTTCCACAGCACGCGGCGCGCCTCTGCGTCGGAGATCGGTGCCGCCATGATGGCGGGATCAAGCTGGGCGAGAAACTGCACTGCAACATCTTCATCTTGCCCCGACCGATGGTCGAGGATGTCCATCTGGCCATGCTTAATCTTCTCCCCATTGGAGGCGCTGCGGTCGAGGCCAGGTTTCTTCTGGTCGGTAGTCATGGCACCAGTGTAGCATCTGCATTGATGAGGTGGGAGAAGCACCCCGACCATGTCGTCGAGTGTCAATTTTATAGCATCGTATAGATACCCCTGATAACGACGCCGGCATTTGTTATCAGAACCTTATGCCCCGAAAGGCTAAGGCGAGGGGAAGGTCGGAGCGAGGCCGATAACAAAGTACCGTCAAGGTCCCATGATAGGGCACGATAAGATAGCGCCGGCATTGGAGCGAGTGCTGTTGGAGACGAATGCCGGAGCCCACTCTATTTATATAGACCATGCCGGCCGTTGGGAGAAACAGTTCAGTGCATGTCTTCTGGTAATATTCAATCAATAATCATGTCTTCATCGAAAGTCAACATCAAAATCGCCATTGGTGAGTTACGCTGCCTGAGCTGGGCGACCGCATAAGCTGACATTCGTAGACCGTGGTGGCACATTCACCGATTGTCTGGGGATTGTAGAAGGCCGCAAGGAAGACATTGTCGTCAAGCTGCTTTCGCAAGATCCAGCTAACTACGCAGACGCCCCGATTGAAGGCATCCGCCGGATTCTCGAACAAGCAACAGGAAAATGCTTTCCCCGCGACCAGAAACTCACCACATCAGATTTTGGCAGCGTCAGTATCCGTATGGGAACGACGGTCGCCACGAATGCTTTGCTAGAGAGAAAAGGAGAACGAGTGGCGCTTCTGATCACAAAGGGTTTCAAGGATGCACTCCGCATCGGGACTCAGTCGCGTCCTAAGCTCTTTGCTTTGAACATCCAGCGACCCGACGTGCTTTATGAAGATGTGGTCGAGATCGATGAGCGAGTCACTATAGAAGGCTATCAGCAGAATCCTGTTCCAGATAAAGAAGGCCTTGAAGCGGCATTAGAGACAGACAATTACCTGAAGAAGGGACTCAGTGGAGAGGTCATCCGTGTCTTAGAACCTCTAGACGAGGCGAAGACGAGACAGAGTTTGCAAAAGCTTTTTGCTGAAGGATATCGCTCCATCGCTGTCTGTCTCGTACACTCATATACATTCCAAGAGCACGAATTGGCGATCGAGAGAATTGCCAACGAAATTGGATTTACGCAGATCTCGCTGTCTAGTCAGCTGCTTCCCATGATTAAAATGACCTCTCGAGGCGCTTCAGCTACAGCAGATGCCTACTTGACGCCGGTGATCCAACGATATACCCAAGGTTTCCGATCCGGCTTCCAGGAT